ACAGTTATTTTGTTCATGCATTCATACCTGCTTGGCCAGCCAAACATCCGTGCACTTATCCATAACTGAACACTTACTATTCTAGGCACCGATGAGTTTATTGTTTTCAAGTAGCTTAAAGACTGATCGGGATGACAATGAAAAAGTAGGCCCATAACTTAAGCACGAAAGATCTATGACTAAGGAACAAAGATCTGAAGAATGTGTTGGAGTAATCCTGGTAAGGGTGAGAGGGCTGGGGTTGAAGATGAGCAAAGCCCAGAGGAATCCTGGCACCTCATGTGAGACTTCTATCTTCCTCCCAAATCTTATCACAGTCTATTTTCCCTCTTACTCACTTTGATTCAGCCACACGCTAAGCTCATTCTTGCTTGAGGGCATTTGCACATGCCATTCCTTCTGCCAAGAATGCCTTTCCTCAAAGTTTTACAAATCTGACTTATATCAATCTGGCCTCACCTCCACATCATCCTCTTATAGAGGACTTCCCCTGACCACCAAACAGAATGGGCTACTCTCTTTCCCTGGTCCCACCCTCCCCTATCTCACGTTTTACTGTCTTCATGCATAGATCATGATAAAAATTGTCTTGTTAATTCATCACCTGTTTATGGCTTACTTCTCACTCCTCTCCAAAATATAAGTTGCATGGGACTTTGCTTCTCTCTTTGAACCCTGCCATGTTTATCAGTATTTAATCCACAGTATGCCCTCAATAAATATGTATAGATGAATCACTGGGTTTCACGTTGTTGAAATTCCAATATGGCTGAGACACGGAATGAGAATGGCAAGAGGTAAACCAAATGTGTTTGTAGGGACCAGGCCCATACAGCCCTGCCAAGGAAATTGGATTTTACTCCAAAGGTGACTAGATTTTAAATTTCTTTGGTCATGAAACAGGGTTACAGTAACACTAGAAAGGCTTGGAGACAGAAAAAAAGAGGAGTTGTTTTTTGCTATGCCCTTCTGTCTGAATCACTTGTCAGTTTTGAGAGCTGGGAAAGCGAATGGACCTCCTTATTTAGTACTTCAGTTTGGTAGAGAGGACAAAGCACCCTTAGATAAATTGGGGATACAGATTTCAAGGAGGCTCTAGGGAATCAAAAATCAGAATCCAGGGTCAGATGAGTGGCAGAATATGGAAATGAAAGAGAAGCAATTATGGAAAGAGAGAGGGGAGCAGACTCTGCTAGCAGAGCTCGGTGCGGTCCCCTTAAAAGCATGTGGTGTGGGGTGGGGGACTATCATGGGACTTAGAAGCCAGTGCAGAAAACGAGAAGACAAGGGTAGGAGGTGCAGCAAGGGACCCTCAGCTCTGCTCCTGAGCCACATAATTTCAACAGGAAGAGGCTGGAGGAGGCAGGAGCTGATGAGCAGGCTCGGGGTGATGTTGCAGGGAGCCTGGACTGCCAAGCCACAACTCACATGGCAAGAGGAGGGGGACATCCTGTCAAGGGAGAGTATGTGATTTGCTCACAGGACACTCATGATCAACATGATCTAGAGGATTAATGATGAAAACTAGAAGAGTGTTTGGTGGGGGGGGGGATATCACCAAGCCAAACATCATAAAAGCCAGCATATCTGCTATGGAGCACCTACTATGTCTCTCAGGCCTCTGCTAAGTAAGCAGCTTATATTTTAATTCATTTAATCCTTGTAAAGAGCCTATGAACTCAGGAAAACTGATATTTTTAAAACACACATAACTTGTATAAGAGTTTATAGCTAGAAAGCAGGAGAGTTAGGATTTGAACCCAAGTCTATCTGAAATCAGAGACTAAGCTCTAGGAGGAGACAAAAGAAACAGAAGAAATCGGAAGTGAGGGTGAATCAGCCAACCTAGACAATGGTTGCTGGTGCTCCCTTTACTTCATTTAATTCATTCTAACAAGCCATTCTGGGTCCTCTGTCCATAGCCCTGACCTTTCCTTGGAAACCCATCCCCACCTCTCAATCCCCTATAGCCTGAGTCTTTGTCCCCAGAAGCGAGACGTGCTAATCAGCCTGTGCCAATCATGTGCTGTCTTCATGCATAGATCATGATAAAAATTGTCTTGTTAATTCATCACCTGTTTATGGCTTACTTCTCACTCCTCTCCAAAATATAAATTGCATGGGACTTTGCATCCCTGGCCACAGTGGATGGTTTACAACATATATGTGCTCTCAGCCTGTCTACTCTGGATGAATCTCAGCACTCTGGACAAGACTCTGGTTCTTTCCTGCTGACTTTAACCTTGATGGCCAAGTCTGGGGTTACTGCAGTTATCTTACCCCCATATCCTGGATGTGCTAGGGACCTTCCCGTGGAGCTCGAGACTAAATCCAACCCAGAGGTGGGCAGAGCCCAGGGCCTGAGAGAATGATTTATAATGACATTGTCTGAGCTCTGAACCCAGCTGTTCTGAAGCTGGATCTATCTTGAGCTTTTCAGTGACATGAGCCAATGATTTTCCCTCTTTAAAGGTAGATTGTTCTACGCTTTCATTCACCTGCAATCATGAGTGCTATTAATACACCATCATTCACCAAGAAAGCAAATACCTATATGAATGAGGACAGAAGGATCTGGGTGAGAATCACAGAGGGAGAGAACAAAAGCTACCCCTGGGGCCACCCACTTACAGAGAGTGGTTCTGCAATGCACAAGACCAGACTAGATTAGAGGCAAGATTCAGTCTGCCTGACAGATAATTTTAACTAACCAAATGTCTGAACATCTTATTCTGGAAAAACAGAACATTTAATAAGTCTTTATTGCTTGGCTGACAATTTCTCAAGAACTTAAGGGAAAATGTTATTATGTCTTTATTATTCTGGCTTGGAAGATAGAACAAGTTTTTTTTTTTTTTTTTTTTAAAGTCCTCCTTGTTATTCTGCATTCAAGTTTTTATTTTTTAAATATCCACTGGTGTTCTTTTTTTATTTTTTAGGCAGACACAACATCTTTGTTTGTATGTGGTGCTGAGGATCGAACCTGGGCCGCATGCATGCCAGGCTAGCGCGCTACCGCTTGAGCCACATCCCCAGCCCCTAGAACAAGTTTTTTAGTTTTGTTTTTTATCCTTTTTCTTTTTTAAGAGGGAAGGAATCTTGAACAAACATGATCATGGAGTTTTAAGAGTTTATTAAAAGCAAAACAGGAATAAATTTCAAAAAGTTTAGAGAAAAGTTAGAGACAATACAATGGCCTGAGACCATAAAAGGAAAGGATCCATTCTAAAACCAAAAGATGACAGCTAATTACATATTCTTCAGGTAAGAAGAGTAAAAAATATCCAAATCATGGCTAGCAAATTAATCCTCGAGAGGCAAATGTCATTTGTCAATCACAGCACCTTTTCCTGTTAAGGCCCATGTTATTCTCAAATTTTCTTTTATCCAGTACTCTAGTTACTAGTCGGCCACAATGCATTGAACAAAGCTGGAACATAAGAAGAAACCCTCTGACTTTACATAAAGTGTAAGGGCTGGGGTTGTGGCTCAGCGGTGGAACGCTTGCCTGGCATGTGTGAGGCCCTAGGTTTTATCCTCAGCACCACATAAAAATAAATAAGTAAAATAAAGGCATTGTGTCCAACTATAATTAAAAAGTAAATATTAAAAAAATTTTTTAAAAAAGAATAATGTGTATGGTGGTGGGGGGGGGCATTAGGGACCAGCATGTGTACCAAAATAAGTTGTGTCAAACCTATTCAGTTTCTTTCTCCTAGGGAATGCTAATGACATTGTGAACAGACACCTGCAGGCTACTTGGAGAAGCTTTCATGTCATCATAAGCACCACAGAATAATTCTGGCTGGATGACAATGCTAGAAGGTAGAGTCAAAACTGACTGAATACCTGTAGTAAAGAGCTACTGGTTCAGGGCCCATGGGGAAACTGCTCAGTCTTTGGTTCTGTCCTGCTCAGCATATTCATTCATTCATTCTTTCAACCTGTTACTCAATAGTCATTTGAGAGCTTGTGTCAGATGTTGTGCAGAAGACACAAAGATAATTCCCGTGTGGAGCCTAGGATACCGAAAAGACGACAGAAGGGGAGATAAAACCCAGTGTGATAAATGCTTGGACTGAGGTATTATATAGGAAGCTCTGGAGAATAGGGCCTGACCCCAACCTGCCCTGTTGAAGGAGATAACCATATATCAATGGTTTATCTGCCTCGAGAAAGAGAGCACAATGCTGGGAAATAACATGAATGCCCAAAATTACACAATCGGAAGTTAGAAAAGGTTGAAAAGTTAAAATTCACCTTGTGAAATTCATTTCTAGTCACTCAAACATTGCACTTTTAGGTTGCTGGAGAATGCCCACTTCAAGCCTCACTGAAAGAACACTGTCCAAGGAGCCTGTACACCCACCAAGGTGTCTCTGTAGTCAAATGGGACCCATATCCAATGAGGACTAGCTAAATATATACTAAACTTCTTTGGGGCTTTTCTGTTCTCTCTCTGGGTCTCCAACTCTGCTCTTACTCCTCCTTAGCATTTTCTCAGGGTGTCATCTATAACTAATAGACTCAGGAATTTCAAGATCCCCCACTATATCCTTGGTTGGGCCACTTAAGCAAAGAAGCACTGAACATGGTAGGCAGCTGTAGCACACTTTCAGTTGGTAAGACCTTTCTTGCCAGCCATGTTCCCTTCCCCAATCTGGTGCCCCAAGGTTGTACCTTCTACCACACAGAAAAGAATAAAAATAGAGAATCACAAATATGCCAGTTCCCATGGCTGTATATCCCAGGCAGTTGGAACACCCCTCCAGGCCTTAGTGTTTCTATCTAGTAAAGAAAGGGGAACTTCCACCTGGGGTGGGCAACTTGTGTTAGTTGTTTATGGATTCTTCTAGAAGCACTCATTGTTAAAAAGAATTTCAAAGAGAGGAATGATTAGTACCAGGGAGTAAACAGTGGAATTTCAGGAATCAGAGGATTTATTTGGGTTCCCATCCCAGAGTAGGAAGCTCTGGCAGGGACACTCCATCAGAACTGACCTCTTCAGTGACGATCGAGATAGCACCTGTGCAGCCTGGTTCATGGCTCTGATCCAGGCGTTCATGTCCTCCTGGGTATCAGCACTGAAGTAGTAGGTCCTCATGCCTGACTGCTCAGCCTGAGAGCCCACCGTAGAGCTGTTGTAGATGAGTGCTCGCATCCCTGTGTGCACAGCCTGTAAGCATGGAGATGGAAATCCAGGACAAAGAGAGTTTAGTACACATTTCCCATCTAGGAGCAAGAAGAAGGAAACAGCTGGCCATGTTCTTCCCCTTCCAGACTAAAAACTACAGCACCAACCAGTTTCGTTCCACACCTGGAAAATGTCAGGGGCTAGATTCTGCTTCCTTAGTGCTGTAAAGCCCAGTAAGAGCTATGTCTGTTGTCCATAAGAAAAGCCCTGCTGCTATTTTCTATTTATCCAATTTCTGCTTACCAAGGAGCACAGAGGCTATGCTTATTTAAGAACACTGTGTGTGTGTGTGTGTGTGTGTGTTGCTATAGACCAAACCCAGGGCCTCAAGCATGCTAGGCAAGTACTCTACCCTTTGCCACATCCCTAGCCCCAGAAACAGACTTTTTTAAAAAAATCCCTATTCAGTAAAAGTAGACTCTTAGGATTCCCTGTTTTTGTTTGTCTGAAGCACATAATTCCAGGTTTGGCTAAAATCAGACAAGAACTGAGTCAAAATCAGCTGCAGCAACATGTGGCTTGGTGCTGACTTTCACCAAGAGAATGCCCCCTTCATATCTCACTGAAAGAACATTGTCCAAGGGGCCTTTATACACAGCAAGGTGTCTCTATAGAGACAAATGGGCCCATGCTCACTGTGCTTCAACTGCATGGCACAAAATGTGATGCATTTCCACCACAGAAGCTGGTATTCTGTCTCTTCGAATAGTCACTACTGAGTTGGAGAGCTAACCAACATTTGATTAAAAACTCTCGTGCATCTATTAAGTGCTTCTGTCTCAAGGTGCTTTCTGGGAAGAGGTGCTGGGCATGACGCCTGAAAAGCAACTGGGATGGTTTGCAAATCAGAGGCTACACTAGTTTCTCTCCCTGTGCTCTGATAAGTGGAGACCAATTTTTTTTTTTAATTTGCAAGTAAAATCTCATCCAATATACATAGGAAGATGGTATAGAAATAAGATTTACTGAGTGCCTACTTCGTGTCTCCTAAGTATTTCAATGATTTCAGTCTCATTTTAATCCCAATAGCCTTGAGAATACAGACAGAATCTCTGTTTTACAGATGCATCAAATGAAGCTCTGAGATGTTAGGTAAATTTCCCAGATAGCAGGTTCTTCATAACACTTATCATTAGCTGGTACTATTAATTTTACACACTTGTTTGTCACCGGGTTATCATCTGTCTCTTCCTCTGGATTATAAATTCCACAAGAGCAGGAACCTTTTCTATCTTGTGTACTACTGTATCCCCAGGAAGAGTGTTTGGCACATAGTAGATATTAAATAAATATGTGTTAAATGAAGGAAGGGAGAGTTGGAGCCCAGGTCTGACTTCACATCCGGGCTTCTCTGTACAATGCTTGCAGGTCCTCTCCAGAAATGAAGGTGATTATACAGATCACTGGTCCTATAATCTGTTTCCAGAATGAAAGGCAGACTCCACTAAGGACCAAAAAAGAATTAAAAATTAAAATTAAAAGCAAGAAGATTGCATGCTTCCAAAATGGGTGAATGAAAACTTCTCAGATGAACCTTCAGAATTTATTTCTCCTTACATTTAACATGAGTCTAAAATACATATTAAATGTGGACCTCTTCTGACATTCACATGTCCGAGTTCACCTAGCCCAGTGTCAAAGGAGTCTAGGCAAACTTGGCCTTCATTCAAAGCCCCTACAGTGACTGAAGAAACCTTGCATTCTTCCTTTGTATATCTTAGGGGTATCTCTGGTCTGAGGATGGATTCCTCCATATTAGCAAGGTGGAAATGCAGCAATAAGAAAGAGAAGGAACTTATTCATGTCTTATTGAGAATCAGCAGTGTGTCTCCTGAGTATTCTTAGCGTTTTCTGCCTAGTCACAGAGGGTTCTGGGACAGGTGTTCACCCCACCAGACACAACTAAGGCATACTAGAAATGGTAGGTCTCTGCTGTACAAGAATTCATGTAGCCAGCCTTGTCCAGGAATCAACCCAGGACATGTCTCAAGCATGCAGACATGAGTTTGCACGTCTGTCAACAAATGGGCCTTGAGAGTTGCACCTAGCATCACAGAGGAGTCATGCAAGATCACAAATATAAACTCATTCACTAATCAAACTGTAGCAGGTGTGTGCCTGCTGCTCTTGGCTCTGAAGAACAGGTTCCCAAATGCATGCTGCCTGTGCTGGTGCATATTAGATATATTAACTGTGAGGGCAAGAAGGACTGGAGCTCCCATTTCATCTGGCCAAATGACCCAAGCCCAAGATTTCCTGAGCCCGAGGAAGATGCCAGGGCCCAGATGACCTCAAGTCTCCTCATTCCTCCCTAGTCTCATCTAGGAAATGACCTCTTCCTCTCTCTTCTCTGCTTCTCGGTTAACAAAATCCTACTTGGCAACTTTATATGACTGAACAGAAACCAGGCTATACCTTTAAAAAAAAAAAAAAATGAGGCTGTGAGCAAGGAAGCATTTCCCTCAAAAACATAATGTACCTAGGATGTGACTGCTCTGCTGGCTCTTAAACCTCAGGTCTTGATACAGCATTGGTGAAGGGAGCCAGAATCCTTCTACTTCAAGCCCCTCAGGACAGCCTTTAGAACAGGAAAAAAAAAAAAAAAAAAACTTATGTGGGAAATAAAGGAACACCCAGAAGGCCAGGGCCCACCAACTGGTTGATCCTCCTTGAGCTTATTCATGCAACAATAATTCATCATTTATTGTTTACTAGATAGAAAAGTGTGTCCTAAAAGTTGGAGGGGCAGCCTGAAAAAAGGCCATGACAGTTTACAGACAAGTAGGAGAAGCCCTAGGACAAGGATCTACAACCACAGTAAATGTTATCAAAAGGTTCAGGATGCTGTGAGAGGGCAATGGGAACATGGCCTGACCCAGAGAAGGACTTAGAGGAACTGACGTTCACGCTGTCTTCCACATGATAAGCAGCTACTTAGTAGGAGTAGCAGGGCAGAGAGGCCACAACCCCAAGAAGGATGAGAGCACAGAGTATTCATCTTCAGGATGAAGCCAGCATGACTAGCATAAAGAAGTGGAGGGAAGAGCACCACTGGGAGAGCCTCAGCTCTGCACAGAGAAGAACCCAAGTTGTGAGGCCCAGGACATAGAACACTGCATTTCTTGGAATGTCTAAGAACACAGATTCTGAACTGCCCCACAGCCCACTCACTAGCACCCCAAAGAACAATGCTGAAACCCAAAGGGAAATCTTTCTGTCTCAGGAAAACAATGCCTTTTCTGCAGAACCTGCTGACCATGACCAGATCTGCAGAAGCTTTCTCTGCTCTTTTAGACCCTGATGACCCCAAATACCCCTAAACACATGATGCCTTCTGTCTCCCAGATTTGGGAGATTTGGAGATTTGGAGAACATTCTTGGTGAAATCTGTTTTTTTTTCCTTTTCCTTTCTTTTTTGGGATGTTGGGGGTTGAACCCAGGACCTCGTGTACACTAGGCAAGTGCTTTACCACTGAACTACATCCCCATCACTTGGTGAAGTCCTCCTAAGGAGGGAATAGGGAGAAAGAGGAGGGAGAGGGAGAGAGAAAGGGAGAAGAAGAAGTTTAACACACATATGTTTTCTTAGAATCTATTTTTATACTTCCCAATGAAGTGTTAAGATGAAATATGTATAGTCACAATAAGTCACTCTAAGGACATTCCAAATGCTGCTCCATCCCAAACCATGTGTGGCATGTTTGCCCAGAAGTGATGCTCAACCCAGAAAGGAGGGTTTTCTAAGGAAGACTTTTAGGCTGCAAAAGGCAAGTTCAAAAGCCATTGAACAATATGATTTCAGAACAGCTCCTGAGTTACAAAGGAGAGTTTCTAAACAATACAATAAATGATCATTCAAACCTTCTTTTACCTCCTGCAATGTGCAGGAAGTGACTGAGAGAAGACATGAAAGGAAAAACAGAGAAGAAGAGTGAGAAACTGTCCCTCCTCCCTGTAATTCAAATGAAAGAGAATAGAATTCAGGGTAGAGTGTGGCCTCCATCATCTTCCAACTTTGTGACTTCGGGCAAAGTTTCTAAAGCTCTCTGACCCCCACTTCCTTTATATATAAAATAGCCAAAAATACTGACCTCTCAAGTTCTCCAGGAGCATTAAATGAGTTAACATGCATGAACGCACTTGGTTTTACAGATAGAAGGCAATACTATTCCATGCCTCAGAAGTGAAGGAAGATGCCAGAATCACAGATCTGTAGCAATTCTGGAGTAACACTTGACATGAGGGAGGACAGCTCCAACCTGCTGATAAATGAAGCTGAAGTATCAGCTTATTCTGTGCTCCCTTGGAAAGGGAAGGTAGCAGGAAAGTAGGTGTTATGGTTTAGATGTGAAGTAGCCCCCAAAGGCTCAAGTATGAGACAATGCAAGAAAGCTTAGAGAGGTGAAATGATTGGTTTATAAGAGTGTGAACACAATCAGTGCATTTATCCATGGATAGGAATTAACTGAAAGGTAACTGTAGGCAGTCAGGGTGTGACTAGAGGAGGTGGTCCCTGGAGGCATGCCTTTGGGGCATATATTTTGCCCTTGTTGAAAGGAGCTCTCTGTCTGCTTCCTGGTGAGATGTCCTAAGCCACTTTTCTCCACCATACTCTTCCGACATGGTGTCCTGCCTCACCTCAAGCTCTGAGAAATGGAGCCAGCTATCTATGGACTGAGACCTCTGAAATCATGAGCCCCCAAATAAACTTTTCTTCTTCTAATTATTCTTGTCAGGTCTTTTGATCACAGCAGTGAAAAAGATGACTAAAACAGTAGGTGACACCATAGATTCAGTAAGCACCACCATAGATTCCAGTTCAAGATGCTGGTGCAGAAGATCACTTGCAAAAGCCTCTCACAGACTAAGGACCAAATGATAACACCCCAGCCACTACATGTTAACACTGGCCAGCCCTTCCCAAGAATGGCGGGTGTCCTGACTGGGCCTTTTCCATGGTCTTTCAACTATCTATGCCTGGAAAAGGTGACTCTGCTATAATGCCTGCTGCCTAATACTCACCTTGTACCCCCAATACAGGAGAGCCAAGTGAGAGGAATAGTAGGGTCAGGAGACCCTACCCAGCTTGAAGTGGATGGCATTCTCTTTACCCTAAGCAGCTGTGAGAGGGCAGGGATTCTCTTCTACTGTCATCAGGGCTATTGCCGCAATGTTCTCTGGGACTTCTGCTCCAAATGCTGTAAACTGAATTGCCACTTAGTACAACTGATGATCTCCTCACCATTCTTGAGGGACCCAAGAAGTACTGCAGTGAAGGAATCTGTGGAGGCCACCAATGGAGAAGGCCTCAGGACTCCCAAGTTTGGGATTAACCACCACCTTCCTACAACCTCCACACAAGTGTCAGAGTGCACCAAAGGACTGTCACCAATGATCTCAGCCCCACACACTCCAAATGGCATGACACAAAGGAAGCAGAAAAGGGGTTCTGCTGGTGGAAACATCTGCCTAGGGATTTGATCAATTTCATTCTAATGACTTTACCACAAGATAAATAAAGTGAACAAACCTGACAGTTTCTTCAACATGCAGGCTCCCATCCCTCAATGTGAGGACTCATAATTTAATTGACATAAATCCATTGTGGGGATCATCAATTACACTAAATGGGTGGATACTGGGTACACTGGCTGATTAAGTTGATAAGAAGGCAATATATAGTAGCCGTGGGGGAGGAAAGGGTTTAATACTTGAACAAAACTGGAGGACTCCAAAGTTCAGATCCACATGAAATTACTATTGACATATTATTCTAGTTTAAATAATTTATATATTTGTTAATCTGAGTCTGAAACTCTCTAGCTTCCTAACCAACTTCCCTCCTCCCAAAAGCAACTGTGTGTATAAAGGCATTTTTCAGAACAGCTTAACATGGAATTGATGCAGAAGAGAGAGAAGGGGCACTACCTTAAAGGAGTACTTGCGACTTATGCGATCCTCAGGGGCCACAGGTGAGATCACGTAGCTGGGTAGAGGAATGCTCCCGAGGACCACTTCTTCTCGGCTGTCTTTGAATGGAAAAACACATTAGAACAACCTTCTGGGTACTCTGTTCAGGGCTTCTTCTCTCTCCCGGGGACTATGGCCATCTCCTCTTCATGAATCATTTAGACACTCCCTGGGCACTTTTGTGCAATGCTGGAACTATTAAGGTGAACCACACAGGGCACTCCCCCCAAGAGCAGAGAGAATCACATGAGCACACTCAAATCAACCTGGAAAAGGGCAGTATGGCCCGGGCTGTGAGGAAGTTGAGAAGGCTTTAGAAAGTGTTTGAAGTCTTTTCAAGGACAGGGAGGCACATTCTGGATGGGGCAAACCTCATTGGCAAAGTTACAAGACTGTGTGAAAAATCCTACCTTCTAGTTCTATTCTCTCTTCCTCCAAACCATCTTCTTAACCAGTGGTGTCTTACTGCCTATGGAGAGGGTGCTATCGCTCTGACTTAAAGGCACTCTCTGATTCCTCATTGGACACAAAGTCAAATTCGCCCTGTCTACGGGTGACAGCCCTTTCATTTTGGCCCTTATTCACCTCTGGGCTTTATCTTCTAGTATATTCTCCATGCAAGACTCACTTGGCCAGAAGGTCTCTTATACTTTGTTCTGCTCCTAGAACTTTACTCAAAGTTGTATCCTCTCTTCATGATGCCCGTTTCCTCCCACATAGGCAAAGCTCTACCCATCCTTAAAAGTCCAACTCAAATCCTATCTTTTCTAAAAAACCCTTCTCAGATTCTCCAACATAATTCACTTGTTGCTCCCCCTGAACCACCTAAGGACTTCAGATGTCTTTTAAAGCATCAATCATAGTCTAGTCTTGTCTGGTAAATGTCTTTCTCTCCTCCATATTTGAGACTTCCTTCTCAACACTGCCCAGTCCCAAACTTAATGTAGTCCTCCATAAATACTCAGATGGTCAATTCAATTCACCAACTGCCCATCCAACATCAAAGAGGATAAATCTAGATGATGGGTTACAAAATATAATTTATCTATACTTCTCACCTCACCAGATTGCCTCCAAGGTGTAACTATATTTCAAGTAGGGCAGAACCTGATTTTCTGAATTTTGAGACCCTAAGTAGTAAACAAACTGGATTCTATTTCCTTGAAATCAATAGCCTCACTTTCCAGTGCTAAGACTGGTAAAAGTGAAGTCACCAATAATAAACATTAATAAAAACATGGCCAGGCACGGTAGCGCACACTTATAATCCCAGCAGCTCAGGAGGCTGAGGCAGGAGGATTGCAAGTTCAAAGCCAGCCCCAGCAAAAGTGAGTCACTAAGCAACTCAGTGATACCCTGTCTCTAAATAAAATACAAAATAGGGTTGGGGATGTGGCTCAGTGGTTGAGTGCCCCTGAGTTCAATCCCCAGTATCAAAAAAAAAAACCACACTTTGACAGGGTAATAGGCTACTAATTAGCTCAGACTATTAGTCTGTCTACTGGATTTAAGAAAACCACCAATTGTGTGCCCTTACCACCATTCTCTAACACAAACAGTTCTTGGTTGGCTGAGCCTTAAACTCACCTTTATAGTAAAACAAGCAGTAATCAGCAAGCACAAACCACCTCCTTTTCCACAGTCTCATCCCAGAACTGTCCTGCAAAGCAAAGAAAAGCAGTCAGGACACTATCTGAGCATACTGTTCCCCTCCAATCATGTACAACCTAATAACCTAATTCTGGATCCAAGACTTGCCCATATTCACTCTTTTAATAAATTAATAAATATTTTATTGAATAGCTATTCTTTGAATGGGGCATTAAATTAGATTCAATGTTGGTTTATCACAGGAGGGTTTTTTCTTTTTTTTTTTTTTTGGTCTCCAGGAAACAAATTATTATAATCCACCTTATTCTAGAAAGGAAAATGTGAATTCAAAAGTACAGGTCTCCTATTAATAAAGGGATCAGCTCTTAACAAAAGGAAGTTTTTTATTTTGTTTTGTGCTGTAAAATATCTTCATTTGGGCTGATTAGAAAACTGAATTTGCATAGTATTGAATATAGTTTAAGTTAGCTAATTAATTAACTGAAGTAATGTTCCCTTTTAACTAAGCTCAGTTCTCTATGATAAGGAACTGATTTTGTTGTTGTTTTACTTCCATTCAATGTGGAGATTGGATTTTCTTTGCTATAAAATTTCCTTATAAAAAGAGTCTGGCTTTACTCATCTGAAATGTAAAACTTTACATTTATTAAGAACATTTTAGTGCAGCTGGCTGGGGTTGTGGCTCAGCAGTAGACTGCTGGCCTACCAAATGTGAGGCCCTGGGTTTGATTGATCCTCAGCACCACATAAAAATAAATAAAGAAAATAAAGGTATTGTGTCCACTACAACAATAACTATATATATATATATATATATATATATATATATATATATATATATATATATATATATATAAAAAGAACATTTTAGTGGGGAATGAGATTGATCAAATTATGTGTATGTACGAATATAGCATAATAAATCCCACTTATGTATAATTATAATGCACCAATTAAAAAAAGAACATTTAAAAAATAAAAATAAAGTAATGTGTTCAACTACAACTATGAAAAAAAAAGAACATTTTAAATAACTATGAAAATTCAAAAAATATGGCCAAGGGAGGAAATTAGCAATGTTTCTAGGGTCAGTTCTCTTCAAAACCTAAGAAAATCTCAGAGCTGTTTTTAGTTAAAGTTGTTAAAATTCATCTTCCTTATGCAGAAGTTGTTTGACAGGCTTGAATTAAAACAAAAACAAAATAAAACCTGACAATTTCTAAACCTAAACATGAGGTTTGTTCATCCTTCTATCAAACTGCTAAAACCAAATTTAACTTGATGATGTCATCAATTTATCAATTTTACCTCCTCCGAATTGACCAGATTATTTCTGAGGTCTTGGCACACAATACCTGCTTCCTTTTTAATGGGATTACCCATCCTGCCATACCTAGTGCCAACATCACTTATCTTGGGAAGCCTTTCAGAACTCCCCAGGCACAGCTACACTCTGCTGTGTCCAGAGTGTTCTACACAGACCTGTTATGGGTACAGCACAGTCACTGGGTCAGCAAGGGCATGGAAAGAGGGGAGAAGAATTATTTAGGATCCCTTCCCTCTCCTTCCATGTTTCCAAGGAGCATCCTTTGTTCAACAGGGACAGTCATACACACGGAAAAAAAAAATCAGAGATTAAATTACTCAAATAGAAAAGAGATGTAGCTAAAAGAGAGGAGAACAGAAGCTGTGAGGAGTGGGGATGGGAGCAATAGTTTGGGGCCAGAGGCAGATCTGACAGAAGAGACTAAGCACTGTGAAAACTATACCAAGAAACAGAACTGGGGAAACACACATCAAATGAACTTTTTGGGAATGCTCCCATGTAGTGTGCAACACAATGCCCTTCTCTCACTTCCCACAAAGGATTTTTCTAAAATGGATATCATTGCTCTTGGAATTTGATTGGTGGCTTTTGGGGATGCTGACAGGAAGCACAGCATAGGTAGACAGGATGCTATGACAGGATGGATAACAATGTGACACAAGAGATGTGCTGTTTCCCTTGGCAGATGATGAGCTCCTTGAAGACAGGAACCACATGTCACTTATCTCTTTATAGGCTCTGTGAGAGCATTCAGAACATGGCAAACACTTGGGAAGCAAATGAATGAATGGCAAGGAGAGAAGAAAGGGGACAAAAGAGACACCGTCCTGGGAGCTCATAGCCCAGCACGGCCATAGGACTAGAAGTGGATAAACTTGGGGTTGGAGATGAAACATGGCCTAGGGGAGACAGAGATATCACTTCCTCACTGAATGGAAGTGGGAGAAGGAGGAGCAGGTGATGGTTCTGAGGTCTCTAACCTGTGTGCCCAGGAGAGTAGGTATAGTACCCACATTATTAAGATCCAGAAAAAACAGGCTAGGGGAAAGAGAAGTAAGGGGTGTGGAAACAATGAGCTGAGTCTGGCTGATTTGGAATCTGGGGTGCTAAGGAGCTAGATATGTGTGCTAGAAAAGAGAGAGGAAAAGATGGGACTTTTTCAGTCAAATGATAATAAAGACTTTAACATCAGGAAGGCAGGTTCTAGTAGAAATTGGTGGTAAGGCTGAATTCAGGCTGACCCTTTCACTCTATGGCCTGGGTCCCAGGTCAGCCGACAGTACCAGTGGTCAGAGGCTGAGTGGGTTTTGGGAGAGAAGCTGTAACCCTTCAGCAGCCAGTCCACTCATAAAAATGAACAGCAAATCACTCAGCATGGTGGGCAGAATGCACCTGTCCCCACACAAACTTGGGAGCAAAAACTTTTGTGCCTCTTCCTGTGTCCTGGGGCTAGGAAAAAGAAGGAATGCAGCAAGGGCCATCCCGCCACCTCCCACTCCTCGGCTCCTCACCTGCTTGTGCAGCCAGCCCCTCACCACCACTGGAACATTGAGGTTTCTCCGAATGGCCTGTTCCCTCTTCCCAAAACTGTGGACTTTATTGCTGGACTTAATGATCTAGGAAAAAGCAGAGTTAAACTCTAGCAGCAGGGAATTTAGGGAGGTGCAAGAAAGCACTTGTGGTAGGAAGGCTGTTGGCTCTCGCTGCTTTACTCTAAGTGGCAGCACCCTTTGATCAAAACAGCAACGAGACAGAGAATAGGCATGCACATGGCCATAGCATTCTAATTAAAAAGCAAGCTCAAGACCTGGCAAGCCTCCCAGCTGGGTCACAAAGAAAAAAATTTAAAGGGATTTTTCAACCAACTCACCAGCAGCTGTTGTCTCTAATATGTCTATGGCTCTCTGGTGTAAAGCTATTTTTTGGTCATAGATTTCTTGCCTATGTCCTGATCTTTACCCTCCTGTCTGGGTTTGCCCTTCAATACTCTCCCCCATTGTGCAATGCTGACTCTTCTCCCTGATCTTTAGTCAGTGTTCCCACACACTGAGCACAGGAACTTTGGTGCTCTTTCCAAGGACACCCTTCCTCAGGTCCATCTGTCACAGAATCTCATCAGGCTTTAACACACAGCCCATAGGAACAACAGTGTGGCCTTCTCAACACATGACAGGAAAGTAGAGAATGTGTTCAAGGACCCAGATATCAGTCCTGGTCTTTCAGCAATCACCCATTTTCTTGGACAAGGGACATAATGCCTCCTGACCTCAATATCCTGGGCTGGGATTGTGGCTCAGTGTTAGCATTTGCCTAGCATGTGTGAGGCACTGGGTTCGATTCTCAGCACCACATATAAATAAATAAAACAAAGGTCCATTGACAACTAAAAAAATATTTTAAAAAATATCCTGACCTATCACTTAGGGAGGATACTTCTTAGGGATCTCCCTCACAAAACTATGGTGACCATCGAATGGGCCTCTGATTATAAGGGGGCTTGGCAAAATACAAAAGGGAGAGATGGAACCAGTGGCCAGGAACTCACCTTGGGTCCAGGCTTGGCCTCCAGGGTAGATGTCGTACCAGCTGTGGATGTTTCACTGACCATGCTGGATGGTCTTTGGTTTCTCTCTTGCTTTGACATATGTGGGTTTGGCCTGTGGGGAGACATGGGGAATCCAATGTGTTAGTGCCAAGCTAAGGAGTGGGAACTGGTAGCAGAGATTTGTTCCATGTTGGAATTGGTTGCTTGGCCTTAGAACGATTCTGGCCAGATTTTTTAGAGACTACCTGACTCCAAACTACAGCCGAAGGGCCTGCCCTAGTGCTTCAGAGAACCAAGAGAAAGACAGATGGGCACATTTCCACAGCCAGACAGCCACAAAGGCGCCCAGACTGTCATCCCTGCCTGTTGTCCTAAGGTCCTCATACTGCTGTCCTACTTGGGTGTCTGTGACAACTGCCCCATCAGATGGGCACACACTATTATTCTTCACAGGAGGCAAGAGCAATTCATACCCTTACACACACACACAAACACACACACCTCTAATTCCCTGACTCCCAAAAGAAACTGTTTATAATTAGTAACAAGAAATCACTTGCGCACACATGCACACCCCCATATACACAGAGAATGCTTACATAAATGCCGATGGGGCTTGTCTCCCAAAATAGACTACTCAACAAAGAGTACTATTCTGGGAACACTCCATTTGCCCCAAAATAGAGCCATAAAAGATATTAACCCCTTGTACTATGCCTGGAGAGGCAGAAGAGATGAAGCCTTCCGTCCACCCCAATGAGGATCCCTGGTGCTTCCCTATCAGCATCCCAGAGATGCAGTACATTCCACTGAGAAGTCAGGCCCTGAGAGGGCCAGCACACTGGGAACATCTTGGCTCGACACTAAAGAGACACTTGAGAGCATTCTCCTCACCTGCCTCCACAAAGCCCTTGCATCTGCCAGTCTTTCAAAGCAGTGGTGACAAATACCTCCACACAAATTCAATACCTCTCTTGAACAGTTCAATACCAGATTCCAAGATCTTGCCAACTCCAGGACCAGTAAGCTTCCTTTTAAGAAGAAGTCTTAGTGTTTGGTGGCTGGGTTTTGTCCACTGTTCTGACGGGCAACAGGATCCAGGCAGTTTGATGCCAGTCAGACTATAATAAATTGAGACTCGCTGCCTGAAGAATAGAAAAAAAATCTGCTTTGGAGGACTGTACCAGGACCCTGAAGTGATGGAGCTGGAGAATCCAGCCAGTCACAGCCAAATAAAAAGCACTTGAGATGTCCTTCAAGAGGCTCACTTTTCGAGAGGTGTGATGGAGAAATTCCAGTTTCCACTGTAGAGATTTGATGCTCTCTTCAAAGAACAGTGCTGCTTCTGTACCAGGAGGGAAATTCTCCACACAAGTCTCCGTGACTACTGTGCCCCCAGAGCAGTTCCAGCAGCAGGACCACTGTAGCAAGCTTTCCAAGGGGCCAGGCCCTGTGGGATGCTTGGCAGCTGGAGGTGCACATCCCACCAGCAGAAAGATCACTGGCTCCTTATCAGCTCAGGCACTTACTTCAGATTCCCCGCCCCCGGCCTCCATCCCAGCCAGACTTTTGTTACTGCTCCCCACTCAGAAGGAGAATGTCACCATGCTCAGCCGCTCCCCTGTTGGCAGACACTGTGTGCAGTGAGAGATAATCACCATTTGGGATGGGAAGGGGCTCTGAGAGGCTGCCTTTTTCATCCCCTGCTTCCAGGCAGAACTATGTCTGAAACATGGTTTTCAGCTGGTTTTACCTAACTTTAGATTTCCAGAGGGGGAAATAAGGAAGAAGAGCTCTCAAGTTAAGGCAGTTGACTGAATCTCTAGTCAAAATTCAGGACACACAGTCCAATGACAGAAAAGATTTGTCTGGGATTTTATCAAATTTAATTTGCTTTCACTTAAGCTACTAATAGAGTCTTATTATATATGGAATATTTGAGAAATATAAGAAAAAGCTAAAAGCAGAGTAAATAAAATCACCCAGAGTCCTGCTATCCAAATGACTGATATATTTATATCCACTCTTTTTTTTAATGCCTGTTTTGGGCTTTAGGGGGTGGGCACTTTTTGGTTTTTACATAATTGTGATCGTGAACTTACGTCTTCATTTTTTAAACCATTGTAAAATCATCAACATGATTTTAAATGACTATCTCATTTTCCATCAATGGAAAATGAGACACCCAATATCTTCTCTGTAGGACAAAGATTTGTGATTGATCCTGAAAATCCAGAACAAATGGATACTGTTGCCATTTCTGTACCTTACAATTTTGAGTTCTAACTGCCTCCCCACATGTTCTAACCCCCAGCACTCCCCAGCCACTCCCTAGTGGAAGAAAGATGGCAGCCTTGGGTAAGCCAGGAAAGAGGGTATGACAGCCATGTGGGGAGCCATCTATGAACAGATTTTAGCTATAGAAGGACTGACTGTGGCTATAACTCTGGACATCAGTGAATGACAGCAGTAGATGGGGAAGGAAAAGAAAGGAACATACAATGACAATTCTAGTTCTCATGCACTGTGCTGCTCAGCCACACCCAAGGGAAGCTTATGAGAAGACATGATGAAAGTCCAAATTCAATTTGCCCCAGGGAAGAGACTGAGTTGTCTATATGAACACAGAGCATGTCCTCCCCAGGGCCTCTCACAGGCAGGGACAGCTCCCAACTCAAGCCACAGACTCAGCCAAGACCTGGTTCTTTGAAAGATCAAGGGACAACACAGCTACCCACCCTGTCCAAGTAATAAGATCTGTCTTCAGAGGATGTTCCTCTGAATCTCCTCAACATGGATCATGGTCTTTCAGATCCTTCACGGGGGATAAGTCTTTAGAAATAACTACAAGTTATCCAGAATTATAAAGTAGAAAAAATAATGGTGGTCATGCTTGGGGAAACCACTTGGCATTAAATAGGAATATGAAAAAAGTTTCCAAATAATTTTTTTACTCGGCTGAAAAACTGGCTCTGATAGAAACTACTAGTAGTGGTTCACCTCAAAAGCTTAGCAATGGGAACATCCTTGTGTGACACATTCGGAACAGACAACACTCCAAGGGATATCTCTCACTTGGATATGGGAATGCCAGTACATTTGTTCCAGCCAATTTCATCTTACAGGGGTGTTCCCCACTTAAAAGCCTGGGAAGACACTGATTTGTCCTCAAGTCCTCAAACTGGGTATACTGTACTGGTAAGTCTCAACCAAGAAATGTTCCCATCCCAGAGAAAAGCCTGCGTCCCTGAACAAAGCAACTGTGAAAAACACATGCCCCTGGCATGCCCTCAGGCACACTGAGTCATGCAGATCCCTGGGACAGGAGACCAAACAACCTGCACATGCAGACTCTTGGTGTCATTAAACAAAATCTATTAACTTAAAAGCCTGCTTGCTGGGTTTCTGTGCTATCTGGATTCCCAGTACAGTGGGATGGTTTGAACAAAGACCTCACTTTCCTTGGTTTAAGCTACATGAATGCCAATTATTTTGCTGGAGGGCTGTGGGCTGAAGTTCAAAACAGAGAGCTAGAGTTTTTGCTCAACTGCCTCCCATGGGAAATGCACAAGAGAAGCAAGGACTAGATAAAGTCAATCTGGGGAAAAAAAAAAAAAAACAGTTGAAGAATGACTGATTCTACTCTGAACTTTGTCAAGGATGTTTCAGGGGAGCCTAGGCAGGAAATGGCTTTCTCTATGCTTCGATTTCCCCATCTGTATAAGGAGCTGCCTTCTGCTTCCTGCATGTCCAGAACCAAATGCACGTAACATTGACAGATTTAGCCAGAAAGGAAGGTTATGAGTACAGAAGTCTTTTTTTTTTCCAGTAGGTCTGCATTTGGAGAAATTTGTTTAAGGAGCCTTAGCTGCCACTCAATTAATGGCAAGAACTGAAGCACTAAAGAGGGATCACAGCAAGACCATTCCCTACTCTATATGTCACAAGAGGTAGGACAAGGATAACCAACCCTGAAGGATAGGTACAAAAGGTCAAGCAAAGGGACTAGGTGGCACTTGTCAAGCACCTACTATGGCCCTTTCCCTATATTACTTCAGTTTTACCATCTCCATTTTGTAGATAAGGAAATTGAGTCTCAGAGAGATTAATGACTTGCTTAAGACAATAGCTGAACCCTGAAGCCTGAGCTTTTGCCACAAAGACTGTTCCATGACAAATCCTGAGGTCTGAGAGAAGTAGGCTTTGGTTCTTAACCCCAAGGCCGTGCCCAAACCAGTGGGATCCTGGGGTATTGGAAAGAGCAAGAGCCCAGGTAACTGGGTCTCAGCCAAGCTCTGAAGCTTACTGACTCCCCCACAAATCACATCCAGATCCCTGAGCCTCCGTTTCCATTTTGTAAAATGGAGTGAAAATTGCCTTTCATCTCACAAGGCAATTATATGTATTGAAATGACACTTTGAAAACCATGAAGCACTGCATGAAATGAAATGCATTACTCGTGACTGTTACTAGTGGAGACCCCAGAATTTAAATCCCACCTACAGTTTATTTTTATTTTGAAGGCACTTTTCTCCAGAAAACTCAAGGTGCCAAACAATTAGTTTATAAACAATGATCACTTCCTATAAAAACAGAGTGCTTTATCTGTGAATTTTTAAAAAATATTTTTTATTAGGGGCTGGGGTTATGGCTCAGTGGTAGAGTGCTTGCCTAGCATGCATGGGGCACTGGGTTCAATCCTCAGCACCGCATAAAAATAAAATAAAGATATTGCGTCCACCTAAAACTAAAAAATAAATTAAAAATTATTTTTTAAAAAGTATTTTTTATTAGTTATAGATGGACATAATACCTTTATTTATTTTTTATGTGTTGCTGAGAATCGAACCCAGTGCCTTACACATGCAAGACAAGCACTCTGCTACTGAGCCACAACCCCAGCCCTTTATCTGGGAATTTTTTGTTGTCATTGTTGTTAAAGTTTATAAACTCTGTGGAATAACCCATTCTGAAATAGTGTCAAGAGTCATTAAGACTACAGCAGGAAGTTAGAAAGCTATGGGGAAATAAGGATCTCTTACTGAAAAGACCTCATTAAAGGACAAGTGTATGCTACTGATAGGCCAAAAAAAATGGGATCCTAGATTCATATCTGTCCTCAAGAATTCTACACAGGGAGCTTAGCTAAAATTTGTAATATGAAAGGAGGAGTATATGAGAAGAGGGCACAATTACAGACACCAGCACATTTTTTAAGGAGCTTACGCCCACCAACTAAGAGGTTTGGAAAAAGCAATACACAATCAAAATCAGGAAAAAAAAGAAAGTTCTTGTCCCAAATAGGCATAGATACCTCCACACCCCCTCTTCCCAGAGAAAGAGACGCAGACAGACCGCCAACGCTCACTGTAAACTCCCAACACCCTGGGGGAGGCTGTCTGACATGGGTTTTCATTCAGTAACTGTGGCCTCATTACTCAACTATGGCTTTCTGTGTTCCTTCTTCCCCCTCAACTCCTCTTAAACACAGGCTACAATTCCTCATCCCACCCCAGGAGCTGGAGGCCAGCCCAAACAGCACCCCCTCACCTGGCATGAAAATAACCCTGTAAGACTTGCCCCTCAACTCAAATCAGAGAACTAACTGCCTTAGTCTTGGCATAAGTTCCTGCTCTGTGCATGACCTTGGACCAGTCTCTTCCACTGTCCAGGTTCAATGTGTATCTATGCAGGAGGAGAACTGGCCCTGAACCTCTACTGCTACCTCCACCTCTGCTCTGCTCTGCTCTGCTCTGTCTCAGAGATGCTCCAGTTCTAATCTGTGTCTTTGGCAAGCCCTCTTATAACCTATCTGAACCTCCCAGACTAACAAGCAGCCACTTTTTCATTAGACAATGACATTTTCTAATGCAGATCTGAGCATTTCCCAGACTTGTGGGGGAAGTAAAGCAAAAGCACAAGAAGGAAAAAACAAAATTCATAGGAAGAAACAAAATTACTGTTTGCAAGAAGCAGCTTCCATTCTACACACGGCAAAGCCACCACTGCAGCATTTTCACCCTAGAGTCAGAGCTGAAGACATGGTTGCTGTGTGGCTGTGACTGCATCCCCAACGCCAGTGCCGATGCCCTTCAAATCATCCACTGCAAACATCAACACCTAGGTGTCTGAATGAACTAAGGTCCCCCTCCCCATCCCTTCCCCTACCTGTGACTGTCACAAATGCTGTTTCTGAATCCAGGTAAGAAAACTGAACAGTCAAGTTTCTGCATGTGTTTGCCAGGTGTTTCCATTTTTCCCCATTTTTTCTGCTGCCATGGCAACCAAATGCAACAGGCAAAGCTAGTCTAAGACTGTCAGCATCTAGAGATAAGGTGCTGGCTCTAACAACCACAGATGGAAACACATCAGCCTCACTGCCCAGAGCCCAACAGATGAGCAGAAGGATGGACTCCTTTGGATGCTCTGGAGTACCCTCTCTACTGCTCCCATGCTGATAATCTCTTATTACCAGCTTTTACCAACTTGTAGCTACAGAAGGAGCAGGAGGAAGAGGAGACAGCCATCCCATAGCAGCAGGAGATACCTAGCCCCTAGGCCTAGAATCTGCACAAGCCTTAGGAGAGTCTTGCCCTGCAACCTGTACAATGAATCCCCCTCAGCAGAACTCAAAGATCAGGAAGATGACTCTTACCTTCAGCAAGATTGCACCTTTTTAAATGTTATCCTCCAAATACCACTCAACATTTCATGCAATTTCACTTGTGTTTCTTTTACAAATAATCCAATGATAAAAATAGAGAAGGGACAAACTAAACTCACCAGGACATCAGGGTGGGCAGGCCAGATAGGGCACTTTCCTGGTTAGGAGCCTCCATGGAGATCCCACATGCTTTCCAGCTGACTGCTCAGACTGACAGCGGGCTTCTGAAGTTCCAGAGCAATCGCATAGTCTCTCACAACCCCAGGCCCCACCTCAACGTGAAATGCTTGACAGAGCCTGGGGATCAGTGCACACAGCCTGCTGTCAGTCAGCTGCTGGCGTCACCACTAAGGAATGCTTCTCTCCCCTTCCTGAGAGCTGTAGAGGTGTTTGTCAGCAGGTTCCTGGGCTGCCCAGAGCCAAGGAGAAATTGCTCCTGTGCAAGAGCACCCAACACTGAAACCAAAGCCCTGGGCGTCCAATGTTAAGGATGTGTGTGGCACTTTTAGCAAAAAAAGGGCTGGCTCCAAGCTCACAATTCAAAAACGTCACTAAGAATCAGGAAAGAGGCTTAAGAAGAGCACAAATGATCCAGTCTCTGAAAATGAGGTCCTATAAGAAAAGGTTTGAGAACATTTTCTGCAGAAGAGATGGTTGAGAAGGCTTGGCATCTTTCAAGCAAGAGTGAAGTGACTATGGATTTTCATTACCACAAATACGATTACAATTAAAAAGTCTATGCAGCAGTAGCATACTCAGCTGGCAAGCTGTTTGAGTATGGCCAACAACAAAGATTGTCCCCTGAAGAACACTCAAGTATGCAATATAGCATGTTGTTTAGAAGCACAACATCTGGGGCCAGAATTCCTGGATTTAAATCTTGACTCCACCACTTACTAGCTTGTACAAATCTATTGAGTCTAATGACTGATGCCCACCCCCCATTGGAAACAAAGAACTGAGAACTAAATAGCATAATAGAAAGGGTGAAATGAAAAAACACGTACTCTAGTCATACAGCAAACATAGCTTGTTGGCAACAGGCCCAAAAGGGCTACTTCCCTTATTAGTCTGAACTGTGAGTTATTAAGGGTAATCATTAATGCTATCCAATAAAAATGTGTGATTTTTTTTTCCCCAGGTACATGGTGGATAAGCACTTCCCTACTTCTCTTGAAGTTGGGAGTGGTTCTGGGACTTGCTTTGACCAATAAAACATCAGTGGAACAGCTAGTGTATAATCCATTCAGGTCCCTTTTTCTTGCCTTTGGCAATTGTGAAAACATAGAAATGAAGCCTCCCTAAGTAAAGATGACAGAACATAGTCCCTCAGGTGACCTACAATGGACACAGAACAAAAATGAAAAATATTTTATTTTAAATCATTAAAATCTTGTTTCTTGTTATCACAGCAGACCCTAGCCTATCCTGAATGATTCTGTATGATTGACACAGAAACTAGAACACTTAGGGCTCTTGTCTTCTGTATCCATCACATCATAGCTTTCTCTGTACCTCTCATCTGTAAGATAGAAACCGTCTTTGGGTGGACATGCACTGATTATTCCAAGCGGCTCAGATGAGTCCTACCTGCCAACAGGTGAGGAAGATTTACCTGTTTATACCCACAATGGCCTAAGAGAAGTCCCCATGGAGATGGGCCTTATAAATTTTTTTCTTCTCACAGAAAGAACCCAAGATTATTTGACTAAAATCTAAGCTTGCCACCACAGCCCAAAGAATTTTGGGTATCTGGAGAATACTTATGGGTGAACAGAAGAACTTGGGAATAACTAATGAAGAATGAGAAGTTTAGTAAGTTGTCTAAATCAGTTGTTTTCAAGCTTTTGCCTGTATCAGAATCACCCAGGAAGCTTGTTAAAAACCCAGACTACTGGGCCCTGCCTCTGAATCAGCAGGTCTGGATAGGCCCAAGAACCTGTATCTTTATCAAGTAACCAAGAGACACCGTTTTAGAGACCACACTTTGAGAATCACTGCTCCAGAAGGATTAGCTTTAAGAAACCGGAGGCGGTGGCTTTGGTGAGGGGAATAAGTGGGGTTATAACTCTCCAGGAGTTGGACTTACCAGATACTCTTTGGAGAAATAAAGGAAAGGCCCAGTTTTACCTTTTCCACCCAAGATACTCATCTGACAGTGCATGTACAAGAACACCAATGGTCATCACAGTCATTTATCCTCATCACATAACACCCTTTACAACAAAATTGAGTTTCTTTAAGGGAACAAAAGAGGAATGTCATTTATTTGCATATTTTTTTACCTTTATTTATTTTTATTTGGTGCTGAGGATGGAACCTACGGTCTCTCACGTGCAAGGCGAGCGCTCTACTGCTGAGTCACAACCCCAGCCCCAATTTGAATATTTTCAAAACAGTTCCTGCAAGGGGAAATTATGCCTTAGCCTCCAGAGTTTCTCCAGGAGATATATCTGGATGTGTTTCAGGAAGGAGCAATTTAGGTAATTGGCTACAGCCTTCCTCTTCATCTCTATCTTCACACTCTCCTTCATAAACCTCCACTACAAGTCATTCTTCTTGACTTCTGACTCCACCAAGGCTGGTCACACCTTGCATGGGTTGTTCAGGACCCACACACGTGTGCACACACACTAATCTTCCCACATCTAAACTGTCCCCTTCCTTCAGTTTAGGGCCAGACTTCTTTCATCTTTACCAAGGTCAATCAATCACCAAGTTCTGTCAATTTCAGCTCCCAAGTATCTCCAGAATCTACCCAGTGCTCTTAATTTCTCACTCTAGCTCAATTGGTGTAGACGTTCCACGCAGTACCCTATTTCTCTGTGGGTCTTTGCCCAAGTTGTTCATCTTGACAAAACAGGTTTCAATTTAAACTAGACAAAACAGGTTTCAATTTAAACTATAGCCCTTCCCAGGACTGAGGGGCTTTCCACAGACCCTACAGCAGGTTAGAGTCTCCTTTGATCAATTCCCACAAAGCCCTATGTTTCCTCTATCACAAATAATTCATAACATTTTTGATCTTGTCATTATCTGTCTTCGTAAGCTCCTTGCCAACAGGACCACATTTGTCTTGCTCCAGAGTCCAACACAGCCCCAACACAATTTAAGTTTATGAATAAGTGTGGAAATCTTCACATTTTTTTTCCTAACCCTTTGTCTCAACGCCTTTTACAAGGAATATCCGACTACCCAGTGCCACCCAACCCCTGAGATAATCAGATATACCCATGACATCCAGGAAATGGCCTCAGAAAGAAGGAACACCTTTTCCTTGGAAACTGGATGGAATTGAGATTAATTAGAGATATTCTGGCAGGAGAAAAAAGCCTACCTATTCAGAAGTAGTGAAGGGATAGTTTTCTGTTAAGAATGAAGGGAAGGGGGCTGGGATGTGGCTCAAGCGGTAGCGCGCTCGCCTGGCATGCGTGCGGCCCGGGTTCGATCCTCAGCACCACATACAAAACAAAGATGTTAACATGAGACAGGGAAAATACCTGGGATGCCAGATGACCAGTTTATGGTGGTTGATAACATGTTGGGAAACCGTGTAGTTTAGCACCTACACCCCTCGTGGCCTAAACCAATCAGTTCAAAGGAATTCCCCTCTTGCACTAACCAATTACCCCTACCCAACTTGTTCCCACCAGTGAATGTGCAAATCAATGTTAAGAGTTGTTGTTTGATTTTCCCGCGGTATGGAATGATTTGCTGTATGATGCTGTGATGCATAGAGTATCTCCCCCAAACCTATAAAATTTCACTGGACAAAGGACTGGGACTCACTTCCTGGGACCACTGCATTGGAAACAGTTGTGAGTCCAGGCTCGAGCTTGCAATAAAGACTCTTGTGTGATTGCAAAAAAAAAAAAAAAAAAACAAAACAAAACAAAACAAAGATGTTGTGTCTGCCGATAACTAAAAAATAAATATTAAAATTCTCTCTCTCCCTCTCTCTCTTTCTCTCTTTAAAAAAAAAAAAGAATGAAGGGAAGAAGAAATGTTTGTGACAGAATTGTTTAGTGATGGAAGCCTATGCATCTCTAGCAGCTCTTACTGAAGTTGGTAACTTCCTGCACCAAGAGTTCTGATGGATTCTCCATTCAAACCTTATAAAGATGGGTGACTGTCTCACAAAGGGGACTGAATTCAAGGACCTCTTCTCTTCAGAATTCTATACACAAACTCATTTGGGGCTGGAATTTGAGGAATTCACTCTCTCATACAGAAGTTCTTTCTCCATGTAGGAGACAAGACAAACTTTACCTTCTACTACTCTCTCAACTACAGGATGAGCATCCCTTATCCAAAATGCTTAGAATTCAAAGTGTTTCAGATTTCAGAGTGTTTCAGATTTAGGAATATCTACATGGACTTCACCAGTTGAGCATACCTAATTCAAAAATCCTAAAATCTGAAAAACCTTTTTTTAATGTATTTCTTTTTAGTTACAGATTGATACAATACCTTTATTTTGTTTCTTTTTATGTGGTGCTAAGGATCGAACCCAGTGCGCCTCACACATGCTAGGCAAGTGCTCTACCACTGACCCATAACAACAGCTCCCTGAAAACCTTTTTGAGTGCCAATATAATTCTCAAATTTTTTGAGTTTGGAACATTTCAGATAAAGGATGCACAACCTGTAGTATTAAAGTCAGACCCTCCCCCACCCTGAGCCTGGCAGTCATGTCCCATGGACCACCATTACCAAAATAATTAACCAAGCAATCTCTGACAAAGTCAAAGGCTGGATTGCCTGAAGAGACCACATAAAGACAGCAGAGACCTTAAAATCTAGCCATCCTTGGGTGGCATCTGGCTCTCTACTTCTAGCCATCTGACTTTGTACAAGTGACTTTTATTTTTTTGATTCCCGGCATCTTCACCTCTAAAGAGTGATGATGGTCAACCTCTCAGGATTACTGTATTACACGAGATATGCATGTAAAGCCTCCAGCACAGAGTAAACATGCAAGAAAAGTCAGTGTCATCACAATTATAGATTTCTAATTTTAAAAGTTCTGTAGGATAATGAATCTAAACTGAAAATACTATAGAGATAAAATTACACGTTTTGAATTTACTTCAAAATAATCCAATGGGTGAAAGGGGGGGGTATGGATGAAATAAAATTATGAGCACATTGGAGTTACTGCCTTCTCTCAACTTTTATATGTTTAAATTTTTCCATAATTAAAAAATTCAAAAACAGTAAGTACTAACGCAGGAAAATACTACAAAAATATAAATACTGATGGTTTATTTTAAGATCACATTTTATTTAAGTTACAGAACATAGGGAAAATTTTATTTAAAACTTAAAGCTAATATCCCTTTGCTTCTCAAAAATAAATATTTTCTTCAGATAGACTTGCCCCAGATGAGAAGGGAGCAGAACAACTTATGCACTTTTCTTGCCTTCATTTTTTGGAAAAACAATATGTGCTGCTCGGGTTGTACATGTATTTTTATGTAGACAAACCCTGGTGACAGAATCCACCTCTGAGCAACTAGCCAGACATCAGCTGAAACTGAGCTGTGGAGCAGGAAAGTTCCCATGTTAGGAACAAAGCAGACAGGATTCAAAATGTTCAGGGATGGTGGTATCACCAGCCTCCTCACTTATAGACCCCAGCTTTGGACTCTCATGAGGCTTACCTGTGAGGCTGACTCTCAGTGTGAGGTTATATTTATTCTCATACCAGATGAGTGGTCTAGTCAGAGCACAGCTAATATGTTAGATGATGCTTCAGGGGAAAGGAAACTTTTAAGAGGCTCTGACTGTACCAACCTCAGCATATCCCTATATCATCTCTCCTTTACCATATCATCCTCTGATAGAATTCTGGAGATTGAAAAATAAAATTCTTCCCATATTTCACACTGAATCAACAAACCCACTCCAATAGTCCAATAAGCTTTGTTCTAAGCAAATAACTTTAAGCCCCCAAACTCTGCCTGGATAAGAAGAATATATAAAAATACTTACTTTTTTTTTTTTAATTTTTTATTGTGGGTTGTTCAAAACATTACAAATTTCTTGACATATCATATTCCACACTTTGATTCAAGTGGGTTATGAACTCCCACCTTCACCCCATACACAGATTGCAGAATCACATCAGTTACACATCCATTGATTTACAAATTGCCATACTAGTGTCTGTTGTGCTCCGCTGCCTTTCCCATCCTCCCCCCTCCCCCCTCCCCACCTCTCCCCTCCCCTCCCCTCCTCTCTCTCTACCTCCTCCACTGTATAACCCTGAGGGTCTCCTTCCATTACCATGCAATTTCCCTTCTCTCTCCCTTTCCCTCCCACCTCTCATCCCTGTTAAATGTTAATCTTCTTCTCCTGCTCTTCGTCCCTACTCTGTTCTTAGTTACTCTCCTTATATCAAAGAAGACATTTGGCATTTGTTTTTTAGGGATTGGCTAGCTTCACTTAGCATAATCTGCTCTAATGCCATCCATTTCCCTGTAAATTCTATGATTTTGTCATTTTTTAATGCAGAGTAATACTCCATTGTGTATAAATGCCACATTTTTTTTTATCCATTCGTCTATTGAAGGGCATCTAGGTTGGTTCCACAGTCTTGCTATTGTGAACTGTGCTGCTATGAACATCGATGTAGCAGTGTCCCTGTAGCATGCTCTTTTTAGGTCTTTAGGGAATAGACCAAGAAGGGGAATAGCTGGGTCAAAAGGTGGCTCCATTCCCAGCTTTCCAAGAAATCTTCATACTGCTTTCCAAATTGGCTGCACCAATCTGCAGTCCCACCAGCAATGTACAAGTGTACCCTTTTCCCCACATCCTCGCCAGCACTTGTTGTTGTTTGACTTCCTAATGGCTGCCAATCTTACTGGAGTGAGATGGTATCTTAGGGTGGTTTTG